GATTCTCATGCCTCAGCCTCCCAAGTAGCTGGGATTACAGGTGTGCACCACCACACCCGGCTAATTTTTTGTATTTTTAGTAGAGATGGAGTTTCACCATGTTTCCCAGGCTGGTCTCAAACTCCTGAGCTCAGGTGATCCACCTGCCTCGGCCTCCCAAACTGCTAGCATTACAGGCGTGAGCCATCATGCCCAGCCTGTCAAAGGTTTTAAATAGGACCTGATTTGCAAATAATACCACTCTGGAAAATGGACAAAGGTAAGAGAGGGAGCTGCAATGCTGCCTTGAACTGGACTGGAAATAGGTTCAAGACTTACTCTGGACATAGAATCAACAAGCCTTGATGGTGGATAACAAGAGGGGGTTAAGGAGCATTGTTAAAGATAACAAAGGTTTAGGGGCATATGCAACTGGGGAGATACAAATGGCACTTACTGGAGATGTGGAAGATGGGAGGAGAGTTGGATTCTGGAGGCAGAGGGTGTTAGGATCAAGAGTACTCTTGGATAAGAAGCTTGAAATGTCAATGGGCTACCTAAATAGAGATGTTCTGTAGATAGTCAGACCTATAGGTCTGTGTTGTAGGTAGTCAGATGTATAGGTTGTCTAAAGTGGTCTGGACTGGGATATAAAATTGGGAGTTGTTAGCACAGAGCAGACATTTAAAGCTCTAAGAATGGATTATTACCTATTCTCTACCTACATAGAGAACACAGAGCAGAAAGAGATGCTAGATGTGTCCATTGGATTCAGTCACGAAGATGTTATTGGTGATCTATGCCAAAGCAGGTTCTATAATGCAGTGGGCACAGGGAATAGACTGAAGAATATCCAAGAGTGAATGGGAGATGAGGAAGTGGAGACAGCTCTCTTGAGAAGGTTGGTTATGAATAGAGAACAGAGTAATAGCTGGAAGGAAATATGGGGCTAGGGAAGTGAATCCAAATTTTCCAGCTCTCTTTGAAAATCCAAGAATTTAACAATGGGCCTGCATTTCCCCCAGGCACCCACGGGCTAAAGGTAGATGATTATATCTTATATGTGAGGCTTGAGCTTTCCAGTTTGCCATTTTCTTTTCAGCTCACTTCCCTTATTTAGGGAAGTGAGAGCTATCCCTACCTATCCCCTATAAGCACTTGCAATTCCCCCATTCTAGAACATGTCTGATGGGAAGGATCCAGGGCAGAGGGGGTTGAAACTGCTGATCATACCTCTGAACTACTCTTTCCACTCTTCCTGTCACACTCCCAGCTTAACTACACATTTTTTCCTCCTTAACATATCCCCAAACCTTCAAAGAGTCCCAGTGTCTCAGATGATACACCAGGCCTCATCACCTTATGTCATTTCATTCTTTAAGACAATAGTTCTTAACTGAGCGAGGGAAGAGTTGATTTTGCCCCCCAGGGAGCATTTGGCAATATCTGGAAATATTTTTGCTTATCACAACTGTGAACAGAGGGAATGCCACTGGCATCTAGTGGGGAGAGGCCAGGGATGCTGCTAAACATTCTACAATGCACAGGAGAGCCCCTCACCACCCCCCGACAACAATTATCCAGTCCAAGATATCAATAGCACTGAGGCTAGGAAACCCTGCTCTAAAACACGACCTCCACGAGAACACGGGCCTTGTCAATCTTGTTCTAGAACAATGTCTGGTAAGTGCTCCATAAATACTCCTTTGAGGAATGAATCCAGCCACTGCTTATTTCACTCATGGCCAGCTCCCTTCCCCCTTCATGCATTCTAAGCTCCCATCACAGAGAACAGAAGGCTTGCACGTTCTCACATGGGCCACTCTTTTAGAAATTATGAAAGAGTGACTCGCTGCATCTTGACCATTTCTCCTGCCAAATCCAATGCTATCACATGGCCAGCTCCCACAAATCCCTGTCCATCAATCCCACTACACCCAAATACACTAGAACACTACTCTCACTGCAACACTTTCCCCTACAAAGTCTGCTTCAACAAGCGACCTTGGGCAACAACACCTGGCAAACTAGCAGCCAGAAGTTTAAATCAAAAGCATTTTTGGCGGGGCACGGTGGCTCACACCTGTAATCCCAGTGCTTTGGGAGGCTGAGGTGGGAGGATCACTCGAGGTCAAGAGTTCTGAGACCAGCCTGGGCAACCTAGCAAGACCCTATGTCTACAAAACAAACAAAAAAGGAGGTTTTTGCTTGGCTGACATACTGTTTTATTAAATTTTACTATAACTATTAAATAGTTAAATGCTCTAAAGCAACGCAGGCACACTCTGGTGGCTCTGAACCCTATCTCTGGCCTAACACATCTGAAGGGTCACACTATTTGCCAGAGTCCTGAGGCACGTGAGTCTGTGACTGCTCCATGACCAAGAACACATGACGTTCTCAGGCAAAGGTGTCCGAGCGCCACTAGAGCCGGAGGGAGACGTACCTGGACCTCGTCGTCCTTGCGGATGGGCATGGAGCGGACATTGTACTTCTGCCGCAGCTCCTTGGAGAGCGGGGATGACATGATCTTCCTGCGCACGTGTGAGGGGGCATTGAAGTGACGTTTGCGGTTTTTGCTGCGGTCCGACGTCACGAAGGGATTGAACTTCATGGTGACCCTCTACAAAGGGCGGAGAGAGACGGAATGAAGGGGCGCTCAGTGGCCTGTTCTCGACCCAAGACACTCCTCCTCATCCCCGCACAGAGGCTCTACGGGGGAGGTGACCTCTGAAAAGGCAACTGAGGGAGAAGAGATGCGAGTGGTCTATCACACAAAGTGGGACGTGTGGAGGTCGCATGCCTGACCAAAGGGGTCGTGGGGAGAGGGTGGCACTGGGACCTTGAGGCTAAGGAAGGAATACTAGGGTTAGGCAGGAATGAGTGGTCGGGAGGTCACGCAAAGAGAGCTGTGGGGTGACATGTGTCCCCGCCACACACAGGGCAGGGTCTAACGGGGCAGTGGGCTTCAGAGTCCGAGAAAACTCCAACCTCCACTCACTCACCCGGCCACTAGGGCCTCAGACCCTGAGTGCGCAGGACCGGAAATTAGTTTCCGTGCCGCGCAAGCGCAGAAAGACATCGAAGCCCCATTTCCGTAAGAGCGAAGCAGAATGGCGCCCCATGCGGCTTGGGGTGGGATCGCAGTGTCTCGTTCCTAGGGTCCCCGGGAGCGCGATGCCAGTGAGAACAAGGGCCTGCTTGTGTAGGGCCTGCAGTAGAGGCTTACGGGTGTTCTTTTAATAGGCACACCTGTCAGTAGTCTCTCACTACCGCAAACTCTCTTTGCCCCCGTTTTTCTCCACACAGGAAGCTGCAGAGGTCGTCTAGGCGTATATATTGTCTGGTGTTTTATTTATTTTTTTATTTTATATTTTGAGATAGGGTTTCACTCTGTCACTCAGGCTGGGGTGCAGTGCTACAAACACAGCTCACTGCAGCCTCAGCCTCCCGGGCTCAAGCAATCCTCCTGCCTCAGCCTCCCA